GTTATAAGGAGTTCGGTCTAGACCTTGCTCTATTTGAAAAGTGTCCTGAGATAACTTCTGTTATGAATTGGCGCTATACAAATAAAATTGAATTGACCATGAAAACAACACCTTTGTTGAAAAATGTTTCTTCGCACTGCACAGTGGGAGTTTAAAGTTGCAGAAAATGTCCACATTTACCCTTCATCTGGTAATTATTTTCATCAGCAGTCCTGCACACGCGCGTCATATGCATACACTCATAATTTCAGTTCTTGACAGAATGATTTGGTACACAGCTGGGCACTGCACTGTTTTTCCTCTCAATTATCATTACACGTTCACAAACCACTGCGAGCCATGGAGTAAAATAGAGGGCTTGTCATAAAATTTGACACGGATGAAAAGAGTGCAACACTCATTAAGTGCCGTCAAAGCCCAGTGCTTGTGTGGCGCTGTGAAATTAAGTTGTTACAGCTTAATAGTCCTATAGAGACATCAGAGGGGTGGCTCTACATCTCTGCATCTGTTTCAGAGAGCCTCCCATCTTGTTGAGGAAGAGAGAGAAAAATATTCCTTTCTCCAGCACACAGGGCTCAGAAAGGCCCAGTACCACCTATAATTAAAATCATTAGCAGGCAGAGACAAAAGCTCACTAGATTTCAAAAGGGATATTTCAAATAATGGCTTGCCCAGTGAGATCCACATGCAAAGCCTGCTAGCTTTTATAGAATACAATAACTTTGGATGGCAATGCTGGGACTGCATTCACGCACGAGACAAGAAGGGAGGGATGGCAGGGAGGACGGGGGCGACAAACTCTTAAGCTGTAATTAGCTTTGCGGAACATGCCTCGACTATTAGACAATCTGGGGATTTGCTGCTGACTACTGTTACGATAACAGAGCAGCAGAGTGTCTTTGTGTTTGGTGCTGTGGACTGGAAATACTGGATAACATCAGTCACTGAGGGGAGGGGATGCTTTAACGTCAGGTAGCAGAACCTAAAACCCATTTAGGGTTATCTGACCTTTTTTTTTAGTTAAAGCTTTGCGAGGATTTGTGTGTTGGTCAGGTTTTTGGTGAGTCAACTTTTGCCTGCAGCCCTCTTAAATTAATCTTTTAACCTTTGTCTTCACTGGCAACATTCGTTTTAAATAACTCCTGCCTTGACAAAATTGGAAAACGGAAATGGGAAAATTAAGTGCAGTTAAGGTTTTTCTTTTAGCCTTGTAACCTTAATAACACTGCTGAGTTTCCTGAAACTTGCAGCAGTATTAAAAATGACTGTTTGGAACAACAACTCTCCAAGAAAGGTTTATGCCAAATATGTTTAGGAAGAAGCGTAGTCACTACCTGGATTATGTTGTGGACTGGCAAAAAAAAGTCCACAAAGTGTAACCATGCACATAACCACAAAGTAATTCATCAGGCTTTAGTTGCTACTAGCAGATATTGCACTAAAATAAATGAAATACATCGTAAGTGTTTTGCAGAAATGTTTGTGAAAAAACAAACAATATGTATAGCTTTCATCCAACTGAACTCAATAATTAATAAAATAAAGTTTCCATTAAACCAATGTGCAGTTTGAACAGATTTCTAAAATTTGGTTAAAACTGGCCAGAAGATCATTGCTACTCATCTCCCCAGCATCAGTGATCAAAGAGGTGAGGTGCCTGCAGAGTCCAAAGGATATGAAATGGCAGTACCCACCCCAGGCACAGCCTCTTCACCCTGCTGCCATCTGGGAAGAGGTATCCGCTGCCGCACCACCAGACTTAAAGACAGCTTCTTTCCTCAGGTTGGGAAACTGCTTAATTTATCCTCAGCAATCAATAATGTAAAATAGTTTTATTTCAATGACTTATGATTTCTTCACTCGTCTATTGTATATAATGTTTGTTTTTGTGAGTAGCATAAAGGGAACTACAACTTATTACATAACCGTGTGTTGTAAAATGATCAATAAATGTACCTTGTAAATACTCTACAAGTTAAACAGTAATAGTTCTTCTGAGTAAATGTTACTCTAATCCTCCAGCTGAAAAACTTTGACTGTCATTATTCTCAGACTCAGCACTATTTCATGATACATTCAGAGCACATAGCAAGACCTCTCAGGTCTATAGCCAAAACCACAATGGTGGGCACTATGTAATTGAGCGCTTCACACATGGTGTCAACAACAATTTATGTCCTTGACCACCATACCATTAGTTAAGCCCTGGTGAAAGCCTGGGGGAAGCAAACAAACACAGTGCTGACGAGACATTAATTGTCTGTGACATTCTGCCGCCATTGGTTGTACATCTCTGTTACACACTATTACATTCATCATTAGCTTCTATAGATCCTACTGCTCTGCTCTGCTTAGCTTTGCTCCTCCGTGTCCCTGGGTCTTATAGACGCCTCTGTTTATGCCTCCGATATATGAAACTGTCGACCGAGTGAAGTCCCGGTGGCTTTAGAGCACAGACAGGCATATGCATCCTTTCCAAGACCATCAGGAAACATACGCTTAGAAAATTCCTCTAATCCACTGTGTCACATGAAAAGGTAACACTGCAAATTATGAACAGCACATATTCAAATAGTAATTAATTAGCTGTACTAAAAACAAACTCAAGTTCATAAATAGAGAGAATTATGGTATGTGGAGATCAAAAATATTCCTTTATGCTCCAAGCCTTTTCCACCAACAAGGAACTAACTCTGTTCCAGTACGAGTCCCTAGTTTTGAAGCGTTCGGAGCATTTCAACCAAAACTAAATTGGTTCGGAATCTGAAAAGTTAGTTAGTTAGTTGGGTTTTCCTTGGGAACCAAAGATGGCGTGTCATATTCTACAGGTTGTTGTGCATTGTGCAGCACCCTCTTTTAATGATGCATCAGATTACTATGGTTCCACTCAAAACTGGTGGAAATGCAGGCTGGTTCACTAAATCGCAGCAAGGTTCCACGAATCTTGAACAGAACTGGTTCAAGAACCAGAACTTATTTGGTGGAAAAGGTTTCTGAGTGGGTGGGCCGAGAACATGTTTGACTGAAATCTCAGCTAGCAGTGGCAGGAGACAAGTAGACAAATTTACCATTGTAACTATAGTTTACAAGCTCAGGACAGGAAGCATTTTGTTAGCAGTGGTACTGAAGAATAGAGACCACAACATCTAAACTGACCAATAGGGACATTTAAAGGTAGATTTGTAAGCTGTTCATTGTGCTACAGAAGCTTATTTTCTACTGTAGAACAGCCTTCTATTACATATCAAATTGACAAAAACAAGAGAAACCTTTTTATGTAGTAAGGCGACAGATTGTTAATGAAATTGTACTTTTGTTGGATTTAGGTGTTTTGATTAGTTTGTATTGTATGTAATGTAGTATTCATTATGGCTTTCTATTATTTGAAGTTATACATTTGTATCCAGCCTCATCCTGCATTAGAAAAGAGCTAATAGAACAATGAGAAGAAAGCACTGAATACAGACAGAGATTTGTATAAAACATTCCTAAAATTATCAGGAACACCCATTTTTGATCAATATTCACAGGAAATAACCTGCTCAAATTTAATCAAAATCACTGGTTTTACACAAACCTTCTGCAGTTATTGTGTTATTACTATTACTACTACTATTACTATTTGGGTTCATTGTACAGTTTATCAGTCGTTGTCTACTGTTGTTATGGATCAAATATAATATGAAATATCCATAAAATTCGAGTCGGTTCACTCAATGATAGAAAAGGGCTCCCTTAAGAATAAAGGTTGGAAACCACTGCATTAGATATACGCCTTCCTGGATTTTATGTATTTTACAGAAAGTTAATACAAATGGAATTAAGGTGTTAATATTAATATATTTAAATGTATCGCTACATCATTTATATTTAATGAAAGTAGAAACACTGCACTTTCCAATTCTGATGAAAAAATCTTTACACCGTCAGAAAACCAAACAGTGACAGGGGACTGGAACGGAGCACACACGCAACGTTAACCTCTGGCGCGAGCCAGGTGAGCAAGACAGCTTTTTGTAAGACGTTTAAGGGTTCTGCATTATTAAGCAAGTGCAAGTCAAAGATTGATGAGGAACACACCCTTTTTTTTTCTCCTGTCAGGAGGGCAGTCACCGCCGAGGCCACATACAGCCCTAGAGCGGCCCAATGAAATATTAAGAGGGCCCGGGGAGCGAGAGGCTGACTCGTTGCCGACTGCTGTTCAGACACAACACAACAGTGTCCGACATGATGCCCTCAGACCGAGGCAAAGAAGTAAACACAGCTGGATATACCCGTTGGCAGCGTAAAGGAGAACTGTGAGGGAGATCTAGGCCTCCAGGGGGATGACCAAAGAGATTATGACACTTTGAATTCAAAGCTCTGCAAAGTGGTTAACCATACAGGGAAACTGAGGAGGGGGGTGGGCTGGTTTCATGCTGGGGCTCAAGTAACATATTGTCAGTGGTATTCATGCATCTCAGCATGTGAGGGCATGCAATGAAGAGTGGAGTAAACTGGGGTTATGAGGGAAATCTCTGAGCACTGTTGATGATGCATTATCCCAGAGCCTTCACACATCAAAGGAAAATCCCCCCTAGGATTTACTGTATCTCTGCCCCTGCCATGAGGCATTCTTCCTGTTTGAATTGCTGAACATGTGTGGATCTGGAAGTGAGCCATCAGTGTTTGATTCCGAGGGCCTGACAACAAAATCTGATGTCTTAAAATAGATGAAAATTATCAAAGGTATCAGAGAAAAATCACCAAAAACCAAATTGGCCCAGAATGCCAGGTGCATTCAAAAGAAAATTTCTATGCTTTTCTGTCAGGGGGATTTTTTCCTTTAAATATCAGCTATTTTCTACAGTGTGACAGCCAGAAGTGATGGACTAACTGGACCGAAACTAAACCCAGAGGAAAAACCTGGGCTTTTCTCTCTGCGCTATCAACGTCTCGACTAAATTTTCAAAGACTGTAGAATAGTGCATCATTTCCAGTGGTGCAAAAAAACAAAACAACACAAGTTCCTCACGTTCTGTTCTGTCTTTTCTGATACTTTGTCACCATGTCTTGCAAACTAGTCGTGATGATGATGGGTGGAGGGACGGATGAGAAAAGAAAACAGCAGGAGACAACAGAAAAGAAAAACATGAACAAAAAAATACAAGAAATGTGAATGACGCTTACGAATATCTCATTAATTTTAGGGTTGTGATAACAGTTTTCTTTTTCCCTTTGGCAAAGTGGAAAAAAAACTACCTTTGAAATGCTTTATCATGAACCGTATGATTATTTCAGTGCAACTAACTCACTCTACTTGTTACCTCTGTGGAGTTAATCGAGATGCTAGCTGGAATAACCGCTGTCTAAAGGAGGAGGAAGGGCTAAAAGGTGCCAGAAAGTGTAAACTGTAGGATACATGACAAACTAATCAACTCAACTTAAATGAGCAGTTCGACATTTTGGGAAATACGCTTCTTTGCTTTGTGTTTAACGCCTTGATTCCCCTGGGCATGGCTCTGTGACGTCTGCAATACTGTTATGGTCGAAAACAACATTTCAGGATATTTGCTCATTTTAATTAATTTCCAGTTGTTTCCATGACTGGAAAACTAGTCATTAAATTTCCAGATTTGACAGGTTCTCCAGGATGCTTAGGAGCCCTGGAGTCTACACAGAGTGTATTATTTAGAAAATTGTTTTCTCCAGTCCATTTCTTTTTCTGACTTCCTGTCAAGGTTAATCTGCACTGTGCCTGTTCTGTTGGAATCGAAAGCATTGTTAGAATGGCTGCGATCAGCTCTGTCAGATGCGTAGTAGCCGGAATGTGAAGTAACCGTGCCCGGTGGAATCAAGCAGTAAGGTAAAAGTTAAGTAAAGTCAAGCAAACATTTTTTTGTTGAGTTGTGAAGACATAAATATTGTGGCAAAACTAGTTGGAGTAAGTTAATTTTTATGAGTAGAATAATCAACTTAAAAACTTAAACTTAATTAATTATTAATTATAAATATGATTAATTAAGTAAGTGGTAATTATACCACCTTTGATTGTAGATGAATTGCTAAATCATCTAACTTAATGTCATACATTTGTTGAACATAATTTTTTAAGTTGCCAAGACTCAAAAATATTTTTAATGAGCCAAAACATTTGTTTTTAGAGTGTAGAAATAGTCAGGATGTGGTTAGACTAACTTAGCATGAAAACTGGAAGCAGCTAGTTTGGCTCTGTCTGAAGTTCAGAAATACATCTACTTACAACTCTAAATCTTTCTAACAGGTAACAGGTGTCTCAGTTGTTTAATCTGTACATATACCAAAATGAAAAAATGACAAGTGGCAATTTTAGGGACAGTTATGTCCTAGAACTATTTCTCAACAAATAACTGTTCATGTATCTACCCAGCACTTGTGAGCAGCATCTATGGCTACAGCACGGGTTGCTGGATCCAGCTGGTGAGCACAGGCTGTTGTTTTAGTCTCTCTACAGGCACAATGGAAGGCAACCTCACTGTGCCAACAAGACTCCAGGAATTCTATGTTCCTGGCTGTTATTCATCAAAGTTCTGTTCTACACACAGACATATGACTGATATCGATCTTTTTATCTTACTCTTGGGAGAAAAGAAAAGGGAAGGAGATACAGCAGAAAAGAGATGACACATGTAGCTATTTCACTCGGACAACCTTTCATGGCAGGATAAGGATTTATAGTGAAAAGTGCTTATAATGGATGGTCCTGAGAGAGTGAAAAATATACATGCACCGTGTTTGTCAACCTATAACAGCTTTGTACTGCATTTTCCAAAATAGTGCATTAAGTCAGCAGAACTGCACAGAGAAATTGAAACAAATTCATAAAATCATGAGCTATAAAAATGTAAAAAAAAAAAACACCATAGTGATACATCCTACCAGAAGCTGTGAAGGACAACATATTGGTAAGTATAATGTTCTTCTTATTATTTGAAGTAGAGTATATTCATTTGAGGGAGAACATTCATTCTTGACCTTGGGTACAGTAGTCTTAAATCAACATCCACTTGCTAGCTTTTTCTGGAGCTTTTAACTGTGATCTTCATCAGCCAATGAACTGTTGTAACACACAACAACACTAACAACTGATATTTCCTTCCCTTTGTACACTGCTGTCCTTTCAATACAATAAATATTGGACTCCATATGTAAATGGTGTCTGCCTGATGACTCAGTTATTCCTCGGGCAAGAGCAAATGTTTGTGGCTCTCAAACTCACTTTTTTTTCACACTATTTTCATAATTCTCAACCTTTAGGAACTTAGAGCAACATTTTTTTGTACCTGTTGATAAGGTCTTCATTGTCATCACTCTCCATCTCGTCCTCGATGGCTGCCTGGAGGTCACCAATCCTTTTGAAGGCCAGCTTGAGGTCTGCCTGCAGGCTCTGATTAGCTGCCTCTAAGCTCTCAATGTCCATTTCCTGTTAATGAGACAAGAGTCAGATGACCGGGACAAAAGGACGACTGATCTAATGCTGATTGATGCTCTGCTACAATGTCTGATCGTAGTGCTTGCTAAGGGATAACTGTTAGTAAGATGTCACATACTCACCAACTCATGCTTTTTGCGGCTGGCCTCGGCTTCCTTTTTAGCCAGTTCACCCATCTCCTCTTTAGTGTCGCGGATCTGTCTCTGCAGACGTTTGTTCTGCTCCTTCTCTCGATTCTCGCTGCTGCTGCGCTGGTCTCGTTCCTCCGTCAGCTTCTCTAAATTCTCCTTAAGACGAGCTACAAGGCTCTGCAGTAATAAAGAGAGATGGTTCAACAATATGGTCAGATTTATACAATAATAACCAAAAAATAATGTACTTCACACCAAAAATAATGTACTTGACTCAACCTTTGCCAGTGCCATGGCAACAGCTGCAGATCTAGATGCAGCGTCCGGTAGCTCCATTAAACAATGTCACATTTTTGTTTTAATGATTATTTCCAGCTTTATTGCTGGAAACATCATTGAATGATGTCTGATTGGATTTGATTTTAAAGCCAAAATTGTTCAAATCAACTGGATTAGAAGATTTTGACTATGCCAACCACTGCACATTCATATGGTTGGCTAGCTCCTTCAAACCTCTCTGTTTTTGTTTGAATCTGTTTTCGGCTTTTTTGCAGAAACACATATTACATGACAGAAATGCTTGCGGTCATCTGAAAAGGAAGTGTGGGGTTTGGAATAAAGACCAGCAGACTTTGGAATGATCCACCCAGCCAGATCAGTGGGACCAGCCCACCACAGTGGGTGCTGTCGCCCAGGGTGGAGAGAAAGAGACCCAGATAGGAGCCATGCTGGCCGAGCTTGGACTTGAGGCTGCTACTGGATAATGTCTGGTTTTGGATGAAACAGGACTGGCCAAACAATGGGAGATGGATGGATGGATGGATGGATAGATGAATAGATGAACTCTGTGTTTCCATCGATGATGCTTGTTGCTCGAACGCAGTCAAAGTCAAAGGTGTTTCTTTTAATGTGTAGATGAGTTTCATCTACACATTAAAAGAAACACCTTTTATTCACTATCTTGTTGTTGCTGTTTACATTAAACCAAACACAAATTCAAAAGATGACCTGCAGAGTTATTTACTGGCTGTATACGTGTATGTATATAAATA